GTTTCATATGCAACTGTAAAATGTTTCTAAATCAACTGATGGTGGAAGGTTGAGTCACGGTCTCATTTCAGTCTTCCCCTTCTTTACAATGCAGTAGCTATTTGGTCTTTGTGCGTGGGCAGGGGGAGGTAGGATTTGCACTGGAGTTTTCTCAGTCACCAAAGGGTGTCACTATTTCTACATGCTAAATCAAATGAAAGTGAATTTAGCAGACTAAATAGGGCTGAATGGCAAAAAGGTTTGCTGCTTTGTTGTGTGGAAATAGTCATTCTTGTCTGGACACAATAGTGATTGGGTGGGGCCACAATAAGCTGCTATTTCAAATCCTCCAGCACATGTACAAGGCATTACCTCTACAGTTTTTGCATAGCAAGCAATATATATTCAGCAACAAAAAAGAGAGAGTAGAATGAAGACATTTGAGGTGAGGCCACCACAACTTTGGGCAACTCCACATCTAGCACTTGCTCCACATTTTCTCAACTGGGAGGAAAAGGTGCAGCTCAAAACAGATACCTTAAGGCAACGCTGTCCTGACTGTGAAGTCACCCCTGAACAGCCATAAATGTATGCAGAAAGTACCATGAAACCTGATGATCAAAGAAAGTGAAAGCAGCATGCAATGCAGAGGGGAATTTCTGTTTCAAGGTGGGTTTGGTAGAACAACGGAGGGAAAAGCCAATGCAGAATTGCCCTTTGTCATTATAACAGTGTTGCTTAATCCAGCCATCTAGGGACATAGTATAACTATATACAGGAACTTGGGATAACAGAACAGCTTAATGTTCTGTTTCATTTTGCATAACACACCATCACATATTTGAAATGAAACCTTCTGTTGTGCTGGATCTCCCCCCCTGCCCATACACACATAATAATTTTGAAAACTGGGAACAAACAAATCACTAATTCACAGTGATTAAAAGATGATCATTCATTTTGGCATCCGGGCAGTTATACTCACTAATACTGGCTTTGCTATTAGCATGTGACATAATCTCTCAGCAGAAGCCAGACCGGGTCAAATCATGAATGGGAGCTTGCTTCTACATTCTACTTAACTCCATCCACAAAGCTTGACATACTGAATGGGATCAAACTCTAGAGGTCACAGCAGGGTATATTATAGGGTTTTAACTAATTATTAAGTGAACAAGCATTGGACACTTACTGTAAAGGGTCCTTCTCCTCTGAAGAAAGGAGGACATCTAGCTAAGTGATTCCCACCGTCCAATCAGGGAGGCAGGAACAATTTTTCAACTTCCTGTCTCTTGCCTATGGGAGTCACCCTCTTCAGTTCTGGTCACTCCAAAAGCAGTAAGATTGTAAAGTCAATTCGAGGAAAGTGAGCAACCAGACAAGAACAGAGCGACAACCTAGATACGGAAAAAACAGGCAAACAGTACTTGTGAGACAAGAAGTATACCTGCTGAATAACTCGTTCAATGATGACTTCGGGAGGGACAAGATATCCTCCTTTCCTCAGAGGAGAAGGACCCTTCACAGTAAGTGTCCAATGGTTGTTCTCCCTCTGAGGTGTAGGACATCTTGCCAGGACCTCCCAGAGCAGTGTCGTCATTTACTGGGTGGGTCATCAGTCGCAGGATCTAGAATATAACTCACTTCCAAAAGCTGGGTCAGCTAAGTCATTGATGTTCGCCTTAGAGTACCATACAAAGGTGGATATTGACGACCATATGGTCGCCTTGCCTATCTCTTCAAATGTGGCACGTTTGGTTAGGGCTGTATTCGTTGTAGCACTTCAAACTGAGTGTGCAGTGATCCCAGATGGTTTTTCAAATATTGAGCTTTATAAGCGTCATTAATGTAGGTCTTAAGGGTACTGCTGATGTCCAAATTGACATCCTCCTTCCTTCAGTCAGTGGAGAGATGAAGATGAATAAGGAATCAGTTTTGAGCATATGTCTTACTTCCAAGGCCTGCCCGTTTCTCCTTCAGATTGATAGAACTCAGGTGAAATGATGGAAGATAAAAATTTTCTGAGGCCTGTGGAAGGTTGAATTTGTCTTCAGTGTAAAGGCAGTGTCTATCTTCATGACCCTTTTGTCTCTATGGAAAATTCAAAGATCAGGCTTGACTGAACAAGCACCTAGAACAGAAACCCTGCTATCTGATGTGCCTGCTATATATATATATAAATTTCATCCTCAGCCATTTAAATGGAATTTCTTTAATAGGATCAAATAGTGTCTGTTGAAACTGAGAGTGTGGTATACAATTTCTGTATTAAAAGCCTGCATCTTTGTGATGGCTCATATAGAACAGCACCCCTGGGAAGACAGCAGGCTTGGAGGTGTCTAGATAGGCTCAGAGCCTGGAACAGAGGTAACACTGTTGTCAGAGTTGTGACTTGACATTGTAACAGAAGAATTATGGAGCCCACCATCAGGTCCCTTTTATAGAAAGGATAGAACCAATGTAGTCTCAATCTTCAGGAGGTTGATACTCCTCTGCCAGACAGGGGTCCTCCAAGAAGTACTGTATTTAAATCTAGCAGGGTATCCATCGTGTTTTGTCGAAAGACCTAGACATAAAGGTTGCTCCACTCAGTCTCCAAACAGTTAAACTCAGCCATCCTGAATGTAGACTCCATACATGACCTTGTTGAAGCATGTCCAGTGATACTGGGAGCATTAGAAGTGGTTGGTTTGCCCTCTCCTGAGGGTCAGAGAAGAAGAAGAGATTGGAGTAGCTTACAATTCCTTTCCCTTTCCCTCCCCACAACAAATACCCTGTGAAGTAGGTGGGGCTGAGAGAGATCTTTTGAGAACTGCCCATGAGAGAACAGCTCTGAAACAACTTATGACTGACCCAAGGTCACACCAGCAGCTGTATGTGGAGAAGTGGGGAATCAAACCTGGTTCTCCCAGATTAGAGTCCGCACTCTTAACTATTACACCAAACTGGCTCCATGGTCATTGAGGACAATATGGTTCTAGTACTGTGATTGCTGCCTTCTGGTCCTTGACCTTCTGGACCAATTTTGGAGGAACTGGGATGTGGGGGATAGGCAAACATAAAGTCACTTGGCCACTGGGATGTTAAAGCCTCAATCGCTTCAGCCAATGGAAGAAGAAAAAAATATTGTGAAGCACCAATTCACTTGATAGTTGTTTGGGGATGCCAGGTTTTTCTCCACCTATGTTATGATCTTGATAGTTTCCTTGTAGTAGATGGAGATCTAGACCCTCCTTGTATGCTGTTGGTTCTGATTAGTAGTTATTGACCAAGTGTTTGTGAGCTGATGGTAAATGAAGGTCAGATAAATCATCTGAAGCTCCAGGGGACTTGCTTCGCTCCCGGACCACCATCCCTGTACTAGTGAGTCATTTAGTGTTGCTCCCAACCAGGCAGACTGGAGAGCAAGAAATATCTGCTTCACCTTCCTTACCTAAAAGGGGCTGAGCGTTCTTGGTCTTTACTGTAAGGGAGCCCTGATGGAAAGGGTCCTCCTTGGTCATAACTTGTAGTTGGAAATGTCTTGGAAGCTGCTATAGTGGTCTAGTGTATAAGCATGTTGTGACCAGCCTGACACCTAGGTGCTGTAGGCTCTTAGTAGGCGCTAGAGAACTTAACTGAAGATTGACCAGGAATCTGTAGTTCTGTACACAGTGTATAGTTGTTTCTGTGTCTTGGTGCACCTTGGCCACAGGGTTTGACCTGATAAACAGGCTCTGTTAAGAACATAAGAGATGCCAATGTTGGATCAGGCCAAAGGCCCATCCAGTCCAACACTCTGTATCACACAGTTGCCAGAAATGCCAGTGCCATCAGAAGGTCCACCAGTGGGGCCAGGACATTAGAAGCCCTCCCACTGTTGCCCCCCCCCCAAGAACCAAGAAGACAGAGCATCACTTGCCCCAGAGTCCCTAATAGCCACTGATGGACCTCTGCTCCATATGCTTATCTAATTCCCTTTTGAAGCCGTCCATGCTTGTAGCCACCACCACTTCCTGTGGCAGTGAATTCCAAGTATTAATCACTCTTTGGGTGAAGAAGTACTTCCTTTTATCCGTTCTAACCTGACCGCTCAGCAATTTCATGGAGTGCCCACGAGTTCTTGTATTGTGAGAAAGGGAGAAAGTACCTCTTTCTCTACCTGCTCTTTCCCATGCATAATCTTATAAACCTCAATCATGTCACCCCTCAGTCGTCGTTTCTCCAAGCTAAAGAGCCCTAAGCGCCTTAACCTTTCCTCATAGGGAAAGCGCTCTAACCCTTTTATCATTCGAGTTGCCCTTTTCTGCACTTTTCCCAAAGCTATAATATCCTTTTTAAGGTGTGGTGACCAGAACTGCACACAGTATTCCAAATGAGGTCGCACCATTGATTTATATAGGGGCATTATGATACTGGCTGATCTGTTTTCAATACCCTTCCTAATAATCCCCAGCATAGCATTGGCCTTCTTTATTGCAGTCACACACTGTCTCGACATTTTCAGTGAGTTATCTACTACAACTCCAAGATCTCTCTCTTGATCTGTCTCTGCCAGTTCAGACCCCATCAATGTGTATTTATATTTAGGATTTTTGGCTCCAATGTGCATCACCTTGCACTTGGCCACATTGAACCCCATTTGCCATGTTGATGCCCACTCGCCCATCCTTGACAGATCCCCTTGGAGTGCTTCACAATCCTCACTGGTTTTCACCACCTTGAACAACTTTGTATCATCCGCAAATTTAGCCACTTCACTGCTTACTCCCATCTCCAAATCATTAATGAACAAGTTAAAAAGCAGTGGACCAAGTACTGATCCCTGCGGTACCCCACTGCTTACCACCCTCCACTGAGAAAATTGCCCATTTATACTCACTCTCTGTTTTCTATTAATTAGCCAGTTTTTGATCCATAAAAGCCTTTGATGGAGGAACGTGGCTAACCACAGGGACCGGGTATGCGTGGTCCTGTAGCGCCTTGTTCAACATACATTTATAGTCCGCGCAGATGCGGACTGCCCCATTTGGTTTATTTACAACGACTATGGGCGTCTCCCACGCTGCGTGGGAGATGGGCTCCAGGATGCCTTGTGCTACTAGGCAGTCCAGTTCCGCATCGATCTTTGGCTTGACCGTCAACGGAACCGTCCTGGCACGCATTCTAATGGGGGCCACCGAGGGTTCTAAGCGCAAGGACACTGGGGGGCCCGTATACCGGCCCAGAGAGTCGTCAAACACTGCGGGAAACTCTTGGCAAATTCCCTTGAAGTCTTGGGTCGTGCACGCTTGAACTCCCTCTACAGTGATTCCCAGGGGTTCGAACCAGGCCCGCCCCAGTAAACTGACTAGGTCGCCTTCGACCACTACTAAGTCCAGGTTCCTCTTAAAATTCTTGAACTGAACCCTGAATGTTCCGACTCCCTTGACCAGCACCTGGTTCCACTGGAAGTCCATGAACGTCACCTGGGCTGGCCGCAATCGGGGTCCCCCCTTAGAGCAAAGGCACTTCAGCATTGCCGCGGAGATTATTGAAGCTGCAGAACCCGAATCCACCTCCATCTCACAAGTGGACCCCTCTATCTTTACTGTGGCCATGAACTTAGGGGTGGGGGATTTGCCGGGGAGTCTCAGTACCTTCTCCGCTGTGTGGGTGAGGAGGTAGAAGTCCTCGGTGCCGGCGTCCTCCTTGAAGTGGGCCTCGGCTCTTTGGCGTGCTGGCTGGGGCCGTCCCGTTGGCTTGGCTCGGCAAACCTTTGCGATGTGGTCCTTGGACCCCCAACTCCAGCTCCGAAACCAGCAGGTCTTCCGTTCGTGCTGGTCCCTACAGCTGGTACACGTGGGTGCGCTGGGATGCTGGCAGCCGGTGCTCGCGTTCGAAGCTGGGGTGCGGTGCGGTGCTTGGGTGCGCTCCCGGGCCCCTCCGTAGGCCCGGTGAACGTCCTGCTCCTCGGAACCCTCTAGCTCAACCTGGAGGGCCGCGGCCGGAGCAGCGTGCGACCTTTCCCATGCGATGGCGGTGGCGAGGGCCTCTTTTAGGTTGACCTTCTCCTTCTCCATGATTCTCTGCCTGAGTTTCTCTTTGCACAAGCCCACGACGAAGTGGTCACGGAGGGCATCGTCCAGATGTGCCCCGAAGTTGCAGTCGGTGGCGAGATGACGCAGCTCCATGAGGAACTCTACGGCGGTCTCTCTGCCCTGCTGACTGCGGGTGTAGAAGGTTACCCTGCAGGTCAGCTCTGTTGGTTTGGGTGTGTAGTAATTTTGATGATCTGCTCGAAGGTGCAGGCATCAAGGTCCATCAGGGACAATAATCGCTCAGCCAGGGACACAACGGCAGTGCCACAGGAGGCCAGGAAGAATCCTCTCTTCTTGCCGTCGTCCATAACGTCGTAGAACTCCAGCACGGCCTTGACGCCTCTCACCCCGGCGGGCCAGTCTTGTGGACGGGCTATGTCGAAGGGCGGCAGCAGCCCTAGCCTTGAAGTGGTCGCCATTGTGCGCGTCGGAGTGGGTGGGAGAGAAGCGGCCTCGCCGGCTGGATCGCTCATTGGATCACTGCGGCTTCGCATTCTCTCGGTCCCCCGTGACGGCCCGGCTCAGTTGCGGCTGGATCCCACCTTCGTCACCATTATTGTGTAGTGGGTTGCCGCATGGATGGACGACAGAGACTGGCATACTGTATAGCACGCTTTATTAGTACACAACAAAGACAACCTACAATGGCCGGCAGGCCAACTATATACACAACCAGAGGACACACCCCTGGGTCTCATTGGCGGGTTTGAATCTCCCGCCATGGTCCCATTGGTTCCCCCAGTGGAGGGACTAGGATCCTAGTCCCTATTGTTAAGCCGGACTCAAGCTCAGGAGTGTGCGCTGGCCTCTGGTGGCGGTCAGCGGACGCAACAATAAGGGAGTTATAGCTGATTTATGGAACAAATGTGCATTCTGAAATTTTTGAAACATAAATATACACAAAAATCATTGTTTCAAGTTGTTACCATAATTCTGAAATGATAACACAACTCCAGGAATCTTACATGTTACACCCCATCCCACCCAAAAAAACTGTAGTTTTTTGTGTTTGGGTACTTACCAGCAGGAGCAGCTAGCATCTTGTTATTCTTGATTCTCCTAATTTCCCAGGCAGTAGGCTGGGGAAGGGCTGCAGTATCCTGGAATTTTGATGTCATTTGGTTGAAAAACTACAATCTTCTGAAAAGCCCCCCCCCCCCCCCTAGGGGAAAAGGGAGGTAATGGCAGAGTTGCAGAACTGGTTGCCTCTTTCTCCTTTCTTCCCTTCTTTGTTGGGGCAGGGCAGTTTTTTCTTCTCACTTCACAACCCTGCAAGTAAAATGGCTGGGGGGACCTTGTTCAGGTGCTTGTAGCATTTGACCCTGTCGTCCAATTCACTTGAAACTTTGTGGGTTTTAGGATTAGAGGGAGGATTATGTTCTCATGTGAATCTGATGCCATTATGTTTAACAACAGCTATACCATACCGTTGAATATGTTCCCCATTGAAAATAATGGTCCCGAAACTCCGGAAGCCCCCAAACCCCACACTATTTTGAATCTCAAACAAGTAATTTCATAACTGAAAATAAGCAATCACAGTAAAGCCCCCCCCCCAATCCTTAATCCAAAATTATAATAAAGTTTTTCTTGGATCACTCTGCTATTGGCCATTTCAATCACCCTCTACAGCACTGCAGACCTGGCAACATGTGAATTTCAATTATTGGGGGACAGATCTTCAAGAAACACTATACCCCAATATCATACTACAAATATTCCATGAAACCTAAATTTTCAGCACTTGCTTCTCTTCAAAACAAAAAACAAGAAGGGAAATTTGTGTGGGTAGGACAGGCAGATAGGGTCTGAATTGTCTTTGAAAATACATCATATTTGGAACTCAGTGGTATTTAAGTGTATAAAATTGTACTGAGTCTCTGGGTTTTTTGCACTACTACACGAGATAGTTATAATTTCCTTTTGTTCAAAGACTCTTCAGTTAGGCATGTTAGTAATTTTATGCCCTCTGCTAATAGCAACCGGCAAACCAACTTCAAAGTACTGTTTACTCATGAGCTTCCATTTTATTTGATCTTGGTTTAAAATTTTAGTGGCTGCATTTTTTAGAAATTAAAATTCCAACTCATTTAAGTATGGTCATATGGCACTTTCCATTTTTCATTGGCATGATAGAGTTTCTTTTCCTCAAAGACACAGAGTAAAGAGCTGTGCCGAGATTTCACTAACTAATCTGCTGAACTCTACACACACAGAAAATAACCTTTTATAAATTCTGTCAAGCACTACAATTCAGTAAAAATGCTTAAAGCTGTAATAGTGTCAAAAGTTACTTGCAGCTAGGGTAACCAACCTCAAGGGAGGGCCTCCAGTTTTTCCAGAACTAAATTTGATCTCCAGACTGATCTCTCCTGAAGAAAATGGCAGCTTTGGAGGGAGGATTATGGTGTACCATAAAATCTAGGAGAAACAGAAGTCCTAGAGTAGCTGCAGAGGATGGATGCTCTAAGTCAAGGACTTCCTTTTCTCCCTATATTACAGCAGACAGATACACCGGCATTGAGAAAGAAATGGGACCACTGTTGGCTGATATCCTCCAGTGGGTCTTCAGAATGGAATTTTCTCCTTACCACCTGTTGGAAAAGGTAATGTCTGGTGCACAAAGAATAAGAAGAAAACCCTGAAGGGGGCAGCAAGAACACAATTAAATAGGATAGTGAGGACAACATCTTCCCTTTTCTAAATGCCATTCCCTCTCTGTCTCCAGATTGCTACTCTTAGGGCAATTTCCTCCTTCTTGGAAGTTCCACACTTCAGTCTTAGCCTTTCTCTCAGCTACAGATGTAGTTAAGAACCTCTCACCGTCTCTCCTCTCAAGTATGTTAGTTCCTAAGGAGCTGCGGTGCCTCAAGTGGTTAGGACGCTGAACTGCAGGCTGTGGAAGTTCAGTAGTTCAGCAGTTCGAGACCCGAGTTGCCGCATGATGGAGTGAGCTCCCATCTCTAGTTCCAGCTCCTGCCAACCTAGCAGTTCGAAAGCAAGAAATTGCAAGTAGATAAATTGGTACCACTTTGGTGGGAAGGTAACAGCATTCCGTGCGCCTTGGTGTTTAGTCATGCCGGCCACATGACCACAGAAATGTTTTCAGATAGCGCTGGCTCTTTGGTTTTGAAATGGACATCAGCACCGCAACCCTAGAGTCGGACTCGACTGGCTTTCGAGCAAGGGAACCTTTACCTTTGTTAGTTCCTAAATAAACCTTTATATATTCTTTAATCAGGTTGTACACCATTGCTGTGTTAATTACTCTGCCAACATCACCAAGAAAAACCTGAAGAGGAATTTGAGATCTTTGGGTGTTTTTGTTTTCTAATTGGAAAATAACTGGATAGCAGCCAGTTATATCAGCACAAATATTTAGAATCACAAGGTTAGTATGCCATATGGAATACATGTGTTCAGAAGCCCATGAGTGATATAAGGTGGGGGAAATTACAAGTGGCGGGAAATTTAAATTTAAAATTTGAATTTTGGTGGAAGGAAATGACATCACAGGAAGGGGAGGAACTAGGAAGCTGTTGACATCACCTGTCCTAATTCAATGTGCATTGCATTGACATAAAACTATCACATACAAGCTTGTCTATGCAGTTTGAAATGATACTGCACCAGAGGTCTCAAAATAAAGATTCGGCCAGAGGGCAATACCAAGACAAATTGTCTTTCACAAGCTAACCTGAAATTATGAGACAGAGTAACCCTGCTTCACATTAAAGTCACTTTTTAAAAACAAATTCAAGTTTATATGCAGAATTAAATTTTGTTGGTCTTAAAAGTGCCACTTGATTCAAACTTTTAAAAAAGTATTAGCCATGTATTTCTGGTACAATGCAGCATCTTTATTTCACCAAGTTATAACAGTTCACCAAGTTTTGCAAATGAATCTGAAGTTAAAAACACATAGAGCTCTTTAGAGTCTCAGACAGCTACTCTTCAGAACAACTAAAACTACTGGTTTTTTTAAATAACATCAATCACTTAACACTAGCCAAAAATTAATATCCACCATAATGTCAGATATAATACTAGGAATATGCTTGCAATCCTAGATGTCTGAAATAATAAAAACACATCTTAAAAGTCATTAAACATCATTCAAATAATTAAAATCAAGCTAAAACACACATACAATACAATAAAAAACACATACATAAAAATAATTGAAAACAGGGCAGGAAGAGGGATACATGAGGGAATGCCAGATGGAATTTTTAAAAAGTCTTCACCTGCTGCTGGAAGATGACAACAGTAGGGGATAGGAGAGACTATTTTGGGGAGAGACTTCCAGAGTTTCAATGCCATGTCTGAGAAGGCCCCACCTGGGTTGCCATCGATCTAATTTCAGAAGGTGGGAGCACTATAGTGGTTGGATAGATTTGTAAGGAAGTAGGCAGTCCTTCAGGTTTGCTGGTCCCAAAACTTGTAGGACTTTGAAGGTCAACACCAGCACCTTCATTTGTGCCCAAAAACAGAATGGGCACCAGTGTACATGGGCCACGACTAGAGTGATATGGTCCCTATGACCCATTCCAGCCAGCATCCTGGCTGACACATGCTGTCCTAACTGAAGTTTCCAAACGCTGTTCAAAGGCAGACTCACATACAGTGCATTGCAATAAACTAATCTTGATGTAACTAGGGCATACACCACAGTGGCCAGATATTTGCTACCTAGGAAAGGTTGCAGCTGACCAAACTGCTGAAGATGGTAAAAGCACTCCTGGTCACAGCTGTCCTCTGCTTATTTAGGAGTAGGCCTGGGTCCAAGAGCACCCCCAACCTACACACGTGTTCCTTCAAGGGCAATGCAATCCCATCCACAATGGGTGGCCCCTTAAGTCCCAGATCAGACTTTCTGCTCACCAGTGGCCCTTCCATCTTATTAGGATTAAGTTTCAGTTTATTAGACTACATCCACTCCAAAATTTCATTCCAGGCACTGATTTGGGGTTTCTACAGCCCCCCTGGAATCAGCCAGGTGCACAAGATAGAGTTGCATGTCATCTGCATATTGATGACAACCCAGCCCAAATTTTTAGATGACTTCACCCAACGGTTTCGCCTAAATGCTG